GCTCCCCACGCCGGACCCTGAGACTGCTCCTCTCATGTCTTGGCTCTTTGGGTGCACGGTGATGGTGACGGTGGCCGTCGTTGACCGCCTCTTCTCCACTGTTACCACATCGATCTCTTCCTCTTCCTCATCCTCATCCTCCTCCTCTTCTTCTTCCTCTTCTTCTTGTTCCTCCTCTGCTTCATCTTCCTCTTCATCATCTTCTTCTTCTGAAAAGGGAAAACAAAAAGTGAGTGAGCGACTCGGTGGTTCTGACACTCAAGCATTTCCACTTTGTCATCAGTGTGTGGTGACAGGTGTGTAGGTGAGTTTGGATTTGAGAGAGATCAAGAGTGAGAGTTTGTGTGTGTGTGTGTTTGTGTGTGTGTGTGAGTGATGGAGGGCGTTGCTCGACGCTGTTTGCATAAGCAGAAACCCCTTAATGCTTAGTGTCAGTCACTTCTGTGCAGGCGTTGACACGTTGAGTTTCAGTGCTGAGCAGACAGGCTGGATTCTGCTTTTCTTTCTCTGCTCCTCCTCCTCACAAAATCTCCTCTAATCTTCTCTGGTGAGACAGGACTCTGGTCCCAGTCATGCTGACGTTGTGCAATAGCAGCTCTCATTAGGCGTCACCTTAACTTTGACCTTGTCGGCTCTAAATACCTCTGACTTTTTCCTCATTCTCTGGCACCACTGACAGAAAGTAGCCAATCGTGAGGCGGCGCGGTTTTAGAATGCCTTTGTGATAGTGATTCTTAGAATCAGCTCTGGAGCATCTGTAGTGTGTGACATGCTACAGCTGACAGTGAGACACTTCAGACACTGCACTGCCAGGAGGTCCTCTCAACACACACACACACACACACACACACACACACACTGGCTGCTGCCATCAAAACAAAGCCTGGCACAGCTGGGATGTGGATGTGCAGGGGCGCGGTTGGCTTCACCACATGTAAGGCAAAGATTTTACTGTTTGGTCTTTTACTTTTATATGGGAAAATCTCATTTACTTGCTGTCGGATGGAGTTTTAAAAATAGAGGACAGGACATAAAACCTCCGCACGAGGAAATAAAACATTATCCTAAACCCAGAAATTAGAGCGTTTCAGAGCAGCAGTAAATCTTCCTGCCTCTTCACAGCTGATTTTTTTTTTTGGATTGGCGGAAGTCCCTCATCTGGAGTTTGTGTCTCTGTGATCTTGCGCTGAGAAACTACAGAGCTAATAACAACACTGAGTGCAGGGGAAGTGCAGCTCCGGCCCTGTGTGTGCGCGGCGCGGCGCGGCGCGGTGGCCTGGCAGGGCGGTAGGATCACCACCCATTTTTAAGCCTCTGAGCTGGAGCGGCGCCAGGAGGACAGCTGTCGGGATGAAGCGCTTGTTCAAAAGCTGTCACCCTCTAAAGAAGCGGCCAGAGCCCTCCTCCGTCCTCTTTTCTTTGCGAGTTAGAGGAGGTGTTTGGCGCAGCCTGGCCTGAGTCTGCCCTGCTCGGTGCCAAGCTGGGGGCCTTTGTACTACTGTTTCACAAGGCAAACACGCTGATAAGGAGCTCGCGAGTGTTTGTTTAGGGAACTCTGGGCAATAATAGACGGGAGATGAAGTCTTAGAAGCCATTAAATCCACACGGGGCTCGCTTCCGAACCCAAACACATAACCACTTCCTGACAGTGTTCCACTGAGGATCGATGGGAGAGTAAGAGCAGGTCGGTTGACTTTGTCAGCCTGTAGTAGTTGTTGTTTTGACCGTGGTGCTGCCCCGGATCACTGTCTAAAAATAAGTGGCAATTTATCACCCGCTGTGCACAACCTGTCCATTAGTCCCTGTGTAATGGAAGTGTTCACGGCACAGTGGAGCAGACACTTGATCGGCTCATCACTACACTGAACACCTTTTCATCAACCTGGACCTGCTGCACTGTCTGTGTGTGTGTGTGTGTGTGTTTTGCCTTTTTGTTTGGCTCAGATGCCAAGTGAGTTCAGTAGGACACACACACACATGCACATAGACACAAATAAACACACACACACACACAAACACAATCCCCCATTTTACTGCCATCTGCCGGATAAAGAGGCTGCTGATTACATAAACCCCGTTCACTGTGTCACTACTCCACTCTGTGGGTGAGGGTGAGGGTGAGGGTGAGGGTGAGGGAGGGCTAATCTGATTCTAGACCAGTCACATGAACGAGCTCCAGGCACTGAAGCGTGCAATAATAATAATAATAATAACAATAATAATAATAATAATGTTTTTTTGTTTTTTTACCTGAATCACTGGATGCGCTCCCGTGCGCTCCCGCTGCGTTGCCGGCTGAGTCTTTGGCACCGCTGCAGTTCTTCTTGTGGACCGGGAAGGGGAAGACCACCGTGGGGTCCACGCACTCTGACACGGAGTTGCGGCTGACCACCTCCGGCGCCTTCACGCACGCGTTTCTGCCGCTCGCGGTGGCCGTGGAAATGGCTTTTCCCAGTTTTTCCGTCACCGCCCGCTCCAACTTTTCCCTGGCGGAGAAGCCGCTCCACATACAGTCCTGGATAATGATGTTGTTGGGGTTAGTATCCAAAACGGAGCCGAACAGGTCCCCATCGTCGGACGCGCCCCAGATATCGTCCTCCGGCAGCAGCAGCAGCTCGGACGCCCAGTCCAGTGGGTCTCCCAGGCCGAAGCCCAGAGGGTCAGCCTCCTGGTCCACTGTCGCCGCCGGCTCCCACGGTAGCGCAGCTCGGCTCGGTGAGAGGGGCGGAGTGGGCAGCAACTCGAATTTCTTCCAGATGTCCTCCCCCGGTGGCGCAGAGTCGGGACCACAGAAGTAGAAGTCGTCCTCGTCCGGGTAGAAGCACGGTTGTAAGGAGTCAAACTCCAAATCGGAGTTTTTACTTAAGATCGCCGGCATTCTGCCCCACAATCCTAGAACCTGCGAGGAGAACAAAAGAACAGTTGGTTTTTCATCTCCTCCAACACTTCCATCTCCTCCTCCTCCTCCTCCTCCTCCTTCACCATCACACCTGAAAACTACAGCGGAGGAGAAGGAGCAGCATGAGTCAAAGCCCACACACACACACACACACACACACACACACACAGACACAGACACACAGTCTGCTCCACTGAATTCCACACTCACTGCTGCTCCTGCTGCTCAGACAACACACACACAAATCTCACTGGAGTCTGTGCGTAAATGTCACCGCGGCACAAACGGTGCCCAAAGAGAGGTCGGAGGACTGGACACAGACCGACCCGCACCCAAAAACAGACTATAATTAAATAATAATAATAATAATGATGATTTCACTGCCAAAAAAATCCAAACAGGGCCATTTTCCATTAATAATCAGCTCAGGTCTCCAGTGTTGTGCAGAGCAGACCGCGCACTCACCTCGTCCTGACTTGGGTGATGATAACGTGCGAACCAGTCTGGTTTCTCGTCTCTTCTTGCAGTCTCGCAGTGGAACAGAGAGCAGACCTGGAACAGTCATCTACGTTGGGAGCTCAGACAGTCCTCTGACACACATTGTGCCTGGCTGCACTGTGTTATACACTCTGAGTTCTGCGGGGAGGAAAACAGACTCCTCCCTTCACAGGCTAGCGGACTGGCTGGGTGGGTGGTGGCGGTGGTGGTAGTGGAGGAGGAGGAGGAGGAGGTGGAGGTGGGGGGGAGGGTGAGGGGTGTGGGGGGAGTGGAGGGTCCACCAGTCGGGGCTCTGGGGTTGGATGCGACTGGCTGAGGGAGTGAGTGAGAGCTTTTTCTTTCAAGGTGAATTGGGAGAAAATAGTCTAAACAGTGCAGCAAGTGGAGAGAGCGGGAGGAAATAAAGGAGAGTTGTCGGTGTGAGTCTGGGGTGAGGAGAAGAGAAAGTAGGAGTGAGACAAAAGAAAGAAGAAAGAGAAAAGCCCCAGGCAAACTGTCTCTCCTTTAAAAAAAAAAAAAAAAAAATCCATCTCTCCACTGGGATGTGAAAACCCAGAAAGAAGGGAAGCAAACCCTGGAGGTTGCAAGTGATTTAATGCCAGGCTCAAGGGCACTGCGGCAGCTCGGTTGCTGTTGTTCCAGTTGCTGCTGTTGCTGCTGCAGAAGTCCCTGGAGGCTTGAACCATCCTGGTGTTTGTGTTCGCCCCATCAAGTCCACGCACACACACCGTGACACTTTTATTATTGTATCAATGAAGTAATTAATGTTCCCTGATGGGA